AAAGATGCTTATGGTTCTGACTATACGCTACAACTATCTGAATGGCTCCGCGACAGGCCCGTGAGCTTGGATGATTGGGCCATGGTACCATGCCCAAAGGGTCAGCGTTGTTTGTTGATGGCTACTAGTGGACGTACTGATATGTATTCCAAAGCAGGACGTAAGCGGATGACTTTTCACACTTGTTTACCCGGTGACAATGGACAACGTGGAAGTAAAATAAGCACGTTACTCGACTGTGTTTATTCTTCTGATCAAGATACGTTTTATGTGTTGGACGCCTTAATTTATGGGAATCAAGAACTTATTCATTGTGAGGCGCAATTTCGTTTTTTCTGGTTACGTTCAAAGTTTGATGAGTGCCATGACCTGGCCGAGCGTGGCATAAACAATGAAAAACCTTTGATATTGTTGGAACGATTAGATATGGATAATATTGAAAATGTAACCGAAGCTCTGCTACGCTTCCCATTTTTTCCTAACAATGTACCAGAGCTTGATGGATTGTTGTTTTACCACAAAGAATCAAGTTATACCTGTGGGTCCACACCATTAGTAGGGTGGCTTTTTGTGTTCATGGTTCCTGACGTATTAGGATATCCTGTTAATGAAAGTTATCAAAAGCCCAGCGACTATACTGAACCACTGGTATATATGGAAGAGTTTGATGCTAAGTTAGCTTGCAAAAAACAAAGACGCTTCCGAAAACACTCCAATTCAGCAGAAATGGACACAACGGAAACGGTCAATTGTGATGAAGACGAGTATGCAAAATTTGACAAGACTGAAAATGGATCACTACTTGCTTTGTTAGAAGCTGAACGAAGATTAGAAATTAATGAGCCTGATGACCAATTTTCGACCTGTGATGTTAATGGTGGTGACTAGGAAAGCAGCTATAGTTGCTCTTGTTGCTTCGTAAATGCTACTAAATGAGAACTTATGTTTTAGGGGTAGAAAGCGGTTTGTTTGCATCTGCGCAATGGCCACTTCAACGGGTCTACAGAGCAAATACGATAGCAGTAAGCAGTACAGGAGGTTGAGTAGAATATCGATACACAACTTTATTATTTCGCGTGCCTGGTCAGTGCTGCAGCCATTTCACATCAGTAAACAGTTAAGAAAACTTGTGTCAACGAAGAAAATAGTGTATTGTAACATACTTGAAATTAAGAACACAATACATTACAAGGAATAAATTCAAAAGAAAATGGTAATCCAACGCAGCTGGAAAATTCTAAGCGATGCAGGCTCCACTTCTGCATCTTCTACAGAAGCAAATAGGTCTCCAACTGGCTTGCAGTCATCTTCGGACGACTCCAATTGCTCCAATCAAACAACACATTCAATGGTTACTAGCGTTGCTAGTCCGCCAGTAATGAAATTGGAAGTACAATCAGCCCAAACATCGGTACAACAGCCGCCAAACCCTACATTCCCAGTAATAAACAGTGCCATTTCTACGAACACATCCACTGCACCTGTCGATACCATGGTACGGATAATATATTAACTATAAAAATTTTTGCACGAATATTAAGTTTAAATCAATTGAAGAAATATGTTACTACACCTCACATGGCCGAGACGATGCTCCAGCGTTTACGTCAGCGTTTAAGTTGTCCTGTACAAGTAAGTGGTACAGGGGCCACTGCAGAATCGGCCATGCGTTCGCTTGAGTTGCTACGTATTAGTATTCAACAATCCTTTGACCATGAAATCGATGTCATTATAAAGCAGTACATGGAAGTAAGCGGAAATAATTAATTTAAAAGTAATAAATTTGATTTCCTAACATGAATTAATATTTAAATTTTTTCAGACCTATTTCAAACCAGCATTTCAAAACATTAAAGAGAATTTGGGTCAAAACGTTGTATCTGAGGAAATTGTGAGTAATTTTCCTTTGTACATACATATGTACAAATTTGTCTAATAAATTGGTTGTAAATAAATTTTTTAGTTGCAAAAGATGTCGTGTGCACTGTTAGAGAACGCAAAGGCACAATACAATCCCTATCGCTCTATAAAGCAACCATTAGCATGCGTATCCATTACTGCCCCCAATACAATACCACAGTATACCACCAGTGAGACAACTAGTCTACGTTTTGCTGTCAGACGTCCACCACCTAAACCTGCCGATTTCAATGAGTTGCCCGCCAAAAAACTGTTAACCGTCTCAACTCAGCAGCAAGTGCAGCCCGTTACTCCAATTAATGTGTCTAGCACTGTAGTTTGTACTGGAAATGCAAAAGCTAATCTGAGTTCAACGCCAACCTTCTTGCAACAATCTCAATCCTTGCCTCAGCAAAATCAACAACAGAAATCGGGTACTCTACCGGCTTCGACCACTTCTGGTCGTAGGCAAATTTTTTGGAACACAGCCCATATTTCGACCACAACCAAATTTGTTTTAGATGTGCAGGCTAATCAAGCTTTTGGATTTGGCACAGATGGAAAAGAGCGCTTAGCTAGCAAACATCCTGAACTAATCCGCTATTTACCTGACAATGAAGATCGAGATTGGCTAAGTTCACAAAATGTTATAGCTGCACAAAATCGCAATTCTCGTTTTCTCTTTCTGATACATGAAGAAGTCTGTCGATTGAAGCAAACACACGAAACATATCGGAACAAGCCGAATATAGATCTTAATGTTATGAACACATTTACTGTGCCAGAATTTATGATCCAAAAGATGAAGTTATTCTTTGTCGATTTGAACATAAAGAGCCGTGGATTAATTACAAACTCTTTTTCCGTTGGTCCTGGTGCCCAGGGTAATAGTCACTTACGCAATGCACTGCTCCAGGGGATTGCAGCACAGAATAACCGTACAAATAGTAATACCGGTGGTAGTGTTAAAACGACCAAACCAATCGCCAATATTACCACAGTATCTTCAGCAGACGCAGTTGTGACACCACTAAATAAAGTAAATACTAATAATGCTGCTGCTGCTGCTGCAGGAAGTTGCAATATTGCCACCAGCTCCAGCGACGCAACTCCACTTACAAAGCCAAGTACACTAAGCTCATCGCATGCAACACTCACAGCTTTGCTTAACAACTCGTCAAATCCACCACCCCAAGACAAAAATAATATTGTAGCTAAATTGCGTAAGTAATGTATTTAAGATTTGAAAATATTTTGTCAATATACTGTAGTTTACAGTGTAATTAAAAATTCCGAGATACATACATATGTATATGCAATGTAATAAACATTGTCTTTAGAAGAACAAAAACTCGAATTTAATTTTTTTTACTTGTGGAACCTACCTTTTTAGGTTTTTAGGAAATAGTATTAGTTATCGGTTCTCGTTTTCTGCCCTAATGCACTTCATAAGGCAATTATATTTTAAAATTTTTTTCGTCAAATCTAATGAAAAACTTTCATTCGTTGTGCTAGTGTTGCCACTGTGTGTGCTTGTGAATGCATACATACATATTAGGCTGATCCAAAATAACTAACCTAACGAATTTACGGCTTTAAAAAGACCTATTTAGTCAGAAAAAAGTTCTCCCATTTGAACAATTTTTATTTTTTTTTTTAGGTGTCGGTGGACATTTTAAATTTTTCATGTAAATAACATGTAAAAAAATTTGTATTCATTAAAAATGTTAGAACTATTGAATTGTTCGAGATACACAAATTTTTTTCTTGGCATATATATAAGGGCTTTAAAAAATGACTGAAGTTGATTGTCCAGACTCAAAAATGTATGTACTTACAGGCCATGAAAGTCGAAAAAGGCAGAAATATGCAGTTTTAGGGCTTTATGATTGGAAATATTTAAGCTAAATGAAAAAACGTAGACTAAAATGATACAAAATGTGTAGAGAATGTTGTTTAGAAGCTAGATTTGTCAGAGAAGTGAGAGTTTCAATCCATTTACTAATTTTTTATTGCATTTTCAAACATTAATATTTACTAAACTATCAATAAAATTCAGTCCCATCCCTCTACACAAACTTTTGAATAAATAGGCCGAGGGACTCAAGTTAATTTAGGAAATAAACAATTAATTTGTTAATATCTTTTAACGGCAGCAATTTATGGCTAAACTGACGATAATAACCGTAATCTGCTTATCAAAAGAACATAGTAAATAATGTTCAACACTCATCCAGCGCAAAATGTATGTATATTCAATTGTACAATGCGCTTGGATTGTATGGATTAGTATGTCGCATTCATTGGCCCCTCAGAGCCATAAGGGTGTAAAGGCATGGGCGCGTTCAGAAATCATCATATTTATGCAGATACGTTCCAATTAGACATTTAACCGTGGTTGCGCATGTTGGACATTTCCATCAATTATAGTTTAGAAATAAAAGCGTCTGATGATTTGGCTTGATATATTTCTGAACTCAACCCATTACTTACCGTTTATTTCTTCGGAAGCGCCTCTGAGCTATTAAAGTAAAAAGTAAACACTAATGGTGATTTTTTTCTACCAAAAAGTGTCGCCTTTAGATTTTTCCTTTCTCTTTTCGTGTTCGGTTTTAATATAAAGACAAAGGTGAGAAAATTTTGTGTTCGTTTCTTAAAATGCCACACTCTTGCAAGGCAAAAAAAAAACACATTCCCTGCTCTTTGAAGCTCTGTTAGGGGTGATGGTTGCCCTGAAAATCAGATAGTTGCTTAAAATGACCAATATTACGAATTGCGTGAGCTAGACACGGACAAGAAAGCCAAAACATGCCCTTTAATGGGTTGAGTGTTATTGACTGCGGAAATCGATTTGGTTTTTTTTCTTTGTTTCATGTAAACCTTTAAACAATACAATGTGCGGAATGCTTGTAGTCCTTGCATAGAGACATCAAGTCAGGAGTGCACATTAGGGCGCATTAGTCTCCATAAAAAATCGGTTTCAAAAAGTTACCTCAGATGATAGAAGAGTTTACTACAACTACTTTTTAAATGGTCCCATCATCATCGCATATTGTGCCAATCTTTTTCGGTGCACATCGGCCAAATTAAATATGTGACGATAATCGTGCCCTCGCTAGGGCAGGCACCTTGCCGTTGGTGCGGGGGCTTAGCTGAATCGCCAATCGGCTATTCTCTGGACTGGGGTAACGCAGTCACTCTTGTAGTTCCTGCGCTACCCCCTTCCAGCTTAGAACCGCTGGAGAACAGCGACCAAGAACTGCCACCTCCTAATCCAGGGTGTTACGCGACACCGTGCCTATTGGACGGTTTGCAGCCAGGAGGGAATAATCCGGTTGTATTAGAACGGCGCCTTCTCGACACCGGGCCGCCTCGAGGAGTAACGGTGGCCTTACCGCGACATGGGGCGCTGCCGCGGCGGACGTTCGAGATCCCCCTTATACGCATAGACCGCTGAGTTCGCCCCGACGATCAGGCGGTCGTACGAACAAGATGAGCAACAACCAACTAATAACAATCACAAAAAAACAACAAAAAACAACAACTGGAACTTCAGAAACAAGAGCAACAGTAACGGTAACAACAGCGCCAGCAGGTAGCAAAACACAGCGAGGCAGCTACCCGAAGAGTACTAAGAGAAGTGGCAGCTTCATGGAGTGTCCTTCTGACACTGAAGCAGCCCTGTTCATCGAGCACGCGAGCACGGACGATGATGAGCCATCCACCAGTGAGGGGTTTTACCACGAAAAGGCCCTCCCTAAATCTGACAGGCATGTTACCGCCTCTAGCGGAAGCAACAACTATGGTAAATCACTAAATAATCTAATGAAGAATCTAATTTCAGGCACCATGGGAGTGAGCATTCTTGCAGTCAGCGCAGCTCCGAGAACAGGCACCGCTCCAGCAGCAGGACCCAATCGATCAGTGGGCGTCGCTCGGCTAGCAGGCATCACTCGGGTTCCCCGGCCAGGCATCGCTCGAGGTCCACGAGCAGGCGTCGAAGGTCACCGATTCGCTCAGGGTCATCGGCTTCATGCGAAGCAGAGTCGCAGACAGAACGCAGGAAGCACAGGAGGGCGAAACCTTCCCCATTGCCTTCATCCGGTCATCGAGGCGCATTAGATGACCAGAATCGAACTGGCTTGGCTAGTTCGGGAGCCAAATGGTACCTTCGATATCTTGAGCAAGGCAAGACGCCAGATGTAGCCCGAACTCTCGCCGGCGAAAGGGTGAAGGAGGAGGACAGAGCCAAAAGAGGGAGAGCTGCATCCGCAGAGGAGCAAACAAACGATACCAAAGAGCCCGCGCCTGCTAGCAAGCAGAGAAGTGGGAAAAACTATAGCCACCATAAACCCGCACCTGCTTCAAAGCGGAAGAGCGGGCAAATCACATCACCAGAGCACCCTACCCACAAGCGGCAGCGGGAGCACGCACCACCTCCTGCATCATGGCCCAGGAGTCAGGGTGGGCAATCTGACCAAGGGCAGACGCAGGGGGTGCCCCTCCAGGGCATTCGGCTAGCGGTGCTGCCGAGAGACTTCCCTGCTGTAGCACTTAGCTCGGATGAGCTTACCGGTCTTCAGGACGCCATTATGGATGCGGTCTCCAACGGTTGGTCTCACCCATTGGTGTTCTGTGGTGTCTACTTTAGATTCGGCTTACTACTTGTTGATTGCAAGGATGAGAGGACGGCGGCATGGCTTGCGCAGGTTACACCTAAGCTTGAGGGTTGGAAGGGACCCGCATTGTGTACCAAGAGGGGAGATGAAATCCTTCCGTTGCATAACGTTACGGTGTTCCTACCAAGAAGCGCAGACAAATCGGCTGAATACGCTCTGGGACTGCTCAAAGCGCAGAATGAGGGCTTGAACACCTCCGCGTGGAGAGTGATCTCGTGCAGCATTGAGAACACTGGCCTAAGACTACACCTGGGCATAGACGAGGAGTCGTATTGCAGCATCAAAAGTGTAGGCTTCAATATTAACTATAGATATAGCTTCGTCACCGTCAGGCCATGGCGACCGAAGTCAACTGGTAACAAGGTGGAAGAGTCCCAGGAAACCCAGGCTGACGCAGCCCCTGCCCCTGATACGGCCGTACCTTTCTAAACTCCGCACCCGCCACCGATGCCCACCCAGCCTGCGAAATAGCCACCACCCACACAGCAACAGCAATATCCACAGCCGCAATTACCTATACAGTCACCAGCTACTGCAACCATACCTCCAACAGAGAGTACAAGTACAGCGGAGAACGTCCCCTCCACGCAGGACCTGTTAGAAGGGCTAGACATAAGGCGACTAGAGCTCGCTAAGCGGATTGAGAGCGATCTAAGGCCCTCTGACTTAGACGAGCCTAAGAGATGAAAAACGGTGCTTGGCAGTAGCCCAGGTCAACCTGCATCATGCGGTGGCTCCTTCTGCTGCCAGCAGGTTTGCCACGGAAGACCTGGGCATCCTACTGATACAAGAACCGTGGAGCTACAAAGGCCAGGTAATATGTGACCTCTCGACTGAGAGGCCCAGAGCGTGTGTAGTGCTTACAAATGACATTGACTATCTTTGCATTACAGAGTTCTTAACACAAGATCTTGTAGAGGTACAGGGGACGCTGAAAGTCAATAAAAACAACAACAAATCGCAGTGGTGAGTCTCTACTTTATATAATAAGCACGGACCTTAGTATCCACAATGTTGGCCACAAACCAACATTTGTTACCTACTGGAATCTGAGCTTAGAGTCAATAGGCTTAATGGCATTGTAACAGAACCCTTCAACTCCATGTCCCGAGATCAAGCCAAGGCCTGGAAAGAAAACTGTGTGGTGGTCTCGGGAACTGTCTGAACTTAGAAAGAGGCTACGCAGGTTATTTAATAGAGCCAAACGCACATGACACTGGGATGAGTATTAGGGTAGTCTGACAGAACATAGTAAGGAAATCACAAAGACAAAAAGAGGCAGCTTTAGGAAGTTTTGTGAGGGCATTTCATCTACACCTGCAGCTGCGAAACTTCACAGAGCCCTAGCGAGAAAAACCATAAAAACTAGGCAACAATAGGGTATAAGTAAGGTAATTGTTTCCGACAGGAAATTTAAGATAGAACTTTGCACCAAGGCGACCTGGAGCGACTCCTGCATCGCGGGATATATATAGGCCAGCAGTAGTACACAGACGGCTCCAAGACACCAGAAGATATTGGGGCAGGTATTTATGGTCCCAGGATGAGGCTACCCGTACCAATGGGCATATACCCAAATATCTACCAAGCCGAGGTACAGTATCGGTCATATCTATAGCACGCCATTTCAAAGTGATATTGTGTGCCACTTATGTTTATTTATTTATTTTTAAGAATTTTCAATTAAAATGCAGTTCTTTCTCTAACAAAACCCATATAAACCCAAGTTTAAAAATTTGTACAAAACTACAAAAAAGCGCAACAAATTTCAAACTTTTTTCTCGGAAGTGTTTGAATTTTTCTGAATACACAGTTTTATAGCCCAATCAATTTTAGTCTGCTAATGTGCAAGTTTCAAGTGGCTAAAAGTTACCGTTGATTTTTTAGAATTTTTTTCGCCAAAGGTGTTGCGGATTTCTTCCATATACAAATAAATTGAGTTTATTCATTATATGGAAGCCAATGCGACAAAAAAAATTCTAAAAAAATTAACGGTAATTCGTAGCCACTTGAAATTTGCACATTATCAGACTAAAATTTCAGGGGCTAAAAAACTGTGTACTCAAAAAAATTCTAAGACTTCCGGGAAAAAAGTTTCAAATTTAGGTGAAAATTTGTTACACTTTTTTGTAGTTTTCTACAAATTGTTGAACTTGGGTATATATGGGGTTTGTCTGAGAATGAACTAAATTTTAATTGAAAATTCTTAAAAATAAATAAATAAACATAAGGGGCACACAATATCACTTGGAAATGGCGTGCTATAGATATGACCGATACTGTATATGTCATCAATAGGTGCGCAGAGACCGATTTACTTAGAGGTTACAGCAACGAGAGAATCCTAATCCTTAGCGATAGTCAGGCGGCACTTAATTCTTCGAGATAAAATCGGCTTTAGTCCTTGAGTGCGTCAACATCCTCAATACCCTTGCGGGATTCAACAAAATCCAACTACTGTGGATTCCTTGCCACAAAACTATACGAGGGAACGAGATAGCAGACGGTTTAGCCAGAACAGCGGCGACTTCGTCCCCAATAGGTCCCGAGTCTTTCCTGGCAATAGGCCCAAATACTATCAGAGAGGAGCTTATGAAAGGACCACTAGATAGGAGGGAACAGCACTGGCATAGTACAATAGAACTTCGCCAGGCTAAAAGCTTATTGGGAGGGTATAATCATAAAAGATATAAACGTTTAATAAACCTCCCCAAACATAAACTTGGAATAATTACAGGCAACCTCACTGGACCATGCAGATAAGGAGGCCATCTGCACAAGCTGGGAATCTGGTCGACCGATCTGTGTCGTTTCTGCGATTCAGCTGAGGAGATACCATCTCACCTGTTTGTGGAGTGTAATGCCGTAGCGAAGCGACAAACGAACAGCATAGGCTCAATGTGGCACATCCATTCCTTACACTCTAAGGCTGTCCTAAGGCTAAGTTATAACTTTTTGAACTTGAATAAAAAAATATGGTACTCTTACACTATGTTGCACAAATATCCTTCTTTTAAATTTCGTACTATTTAATTCGATTCTTTTTTATAGAAATTATACTATATTTGGTTGCATTATGTGTTTGATATATAATTTTTTGGTATTTTTGTTTATTTATATATATGTCGTTGTGTTAAATTATTCTTTACCTTATGTGTACACACGTTGTCACAAGCGAATATGAAGAAAATTCCAGTAAAAATCCACTACCAAACGAACAAATGTAAACAAACGGCTAATGTCAAAATCGCTCAACTTTTTTCCTAAATGCGATTATAACGGGCTACTGGTTTGCTGGTGTGATCTTGTATTTTTGGTTCATGCTACATATGTATGTATGTATATGGCTTGAAGGAAACTTTTATCGAAACTAATGCTAATGCACCAATTTTTAATAATTGTAGCATACCTACGGTGACCATAAATATGAATTGAAAATGCAGGACAATTAAAAAAAATATATATATGTACCTTCATACATACATACATATGTAAATTTACGTAGTATAGAAATAACAAGAAAATATACACTGGTTATTAAAAGTGAGTGCATGGTGATTTTTGTTAAATTTTTGCTGTTTTTCAAGTAAAATTTTTTTTTGTTAGTTTTAAATAAAAATATGTTTCATTCTTTAATCAAAACCACACAAGTCAAACTTAAAATAGAATTTAGAAAAATTCAAAAAAATTGTCTGTAAGTTTTGTACTTTTTAGAGTGAATTTTTAGAAAAATTCTGGGTATGCAGGTACATCGGTTATGTAAATGTTGTAAAACCAGTGCAAGTTTTAAGCGGCTAAAAATCCATCGATTTAATGATTTTTTATTGCCGAAGCCACAAGTTATATATTTTTGTAAGAGGCACTTCAATACCTTTCGAACTGTAGATCGCTTACGTTGATTGGGAGATCTTTTCATGAGGTATTGACGAATAGGTCCGAAAAGTACAAAATCACGTTTCTCGAAAAAATCTCGAAATGTCTTTGAAAAGAAAATTATGTGCTGTTTACGTGTTCATCGAACCAAACTATGCTTGAAAAAATATGGTAAACGCGATTAGTATACAATTTGTAGAGCAGTGTTACTGATACTTGTCATGCTGGTCCCCATTTTCTTCAACGCATTTACTTTTTGAAGCTTTAAACTCAGCCTCATCCTCATGTATGTAGTTATCAATCAGTTATCGACACTGCTTATATGTTGATAAGTAAAGGGCACCCGCCGTTTACATATTTTAAGATATCGAATGAAATGCGGGACAAGGGCAGGACGCTTGGAAAAAATCAGGGACCGAACATAACAGTTATTGATGAAAACTGTCATGGAAAAATTCACTATGAAGGAAATGTTCTACAACTAAGTGATAAATATCAATCGATTTCTTTTTTCACCGAGACTCAAATTTTAAATCTAATCTAAATCTAAGACATATAATTTAAAAATCAAAAATAACTGTTATTTGCAGATTATTTAGATAAAAATAAAAAATAATTGTTATCGTGCAACCTACAGCCATTTGGCGGCTTTAATGAATTTGAATACGTCATACAGAGAGAGGCAGCTTCATTCTAAAACATTCTGCAGGAATGGTTTGCAGAGTGTCTTTACCCTTATCCTTGCGAGGGCTGGACAGTTACTCAGGAAGTGTTCGACTGTCTCCTTTAAGTCGGTCATCGCAACTGCGACAGAACCTGTTGAAGGGCAATCCAATCCTTTCAGCATTTACCCCAACGTGCCAGTACTCTGTGCAAGTTTGTAGGTATCTTCTTGGCGAATTCTTAAGAGAGCTTCGGCAATTTTTTTGTCAAGAGATTTCACACTGAATTAGTTGAAAAAGTAGGTTGCCTGCTTCGATGCGGGGCGGGCGTATGATGAACATAACTACATACATACATACATAGTTTATGTAAAACATTTGAAACAAAACCCAATTCCTATTATTGATTTCATAAACCACCTTAAATACGAGGACTTTGAAGCTAATATTTTAAATTTTTTAAGGCAGCTGATCCTCTTCCTGTATGAAATTGGTAAAGAAAATACCTTATAAAAAACTATACACATATGTATGTATAGGTAAATGATTTAAGAAGACATTGAAACAAAAATAATTTTTGAATTAAAAACAAATTTTAACTTGTTTTAAAATGTAAAAATTATTTCCTTTATTTAGTTAATATGTTTTAAAAATTTGTGTTCCATTTTTTAATTACAGTGCCCCTCGGAAATTGCGACAGATTAAAATCGGTGGTCTGATGCGTTAACCGAGGTTGTCGCAATTATCGAGCCTTTTTTTATCATAAAGCTTAATAGAAAAATAATAAAATTAAGAAAGTGCAAATTTCATGTGGCTAAGAATTCGTGTAGGTGTTTGATAATAAAAAAAATCGATTTTAAATACTTTGTATGGAAGAAAATGCGTGACACCGTCAGCCAAAAAAAAAAATTATCAAAAATCAAGGCGAATTCTTAGCCACTTGAAATTTGCACTTTATTAAGCTAGAATTAATAGACTATTAAAATGCATATGCACTTACTATTTTTCTACAACGTTTGAAATTTAGACTTGAATGGTTTTTATGCTGTATTTTTATAAAAAAAGAAAATAATAAAGATTAAAGAAACCAAAGAAAAATAGTCAAAACTGGTCAAATTGTCGTGTACCTATTATTTTTCACATGACTGTATATATTTATGTATACTTATGTAAATTAGACTGCATTACTCCCCATACAAAAAAAAATCGCTACTGGCTTTCCATTGGAATTATAAAATATATTATATTTTAAGACGTCCACCAAAATATTTCGGAAAAATATTGAGATTTACGTGAGCTGGACCGATTTGAAAATACCTCCAAAAATTCAGTTTTTTATGAATAAAAATAGTTTCTTAAAGATTTTTTTTTAATCCGCTCAAATGACAAAACGGTTTAAGCTTAAAAAATTTGCATAAAAATATTTTTAAAAAATTAATAAGATTTTTGATGCTGATTTTTAACTTTTCTTTGGTATAAGAAAAACTTGAATAGCTCAACATAAACTCTTCCGATTTAGACTTGTGAGGTATCATTGGAAAGATATTTTCGCACCCTTTTTATTTATTTGCTAATAAACTCATTCCAATGATGAAAGAGGAAGGATAAACGAGCGTCATTCTAAGTTGAATTAAGATGTATTGGAAATAAAAAGAGTGTGAAAATACCTTTTTACTGAGACCGCATAAGTATAAATCAGGATAGTTTTGGCCAAGTTATTCAAGGTTTTCATAAATCAATCTTTAAAAAAGTTCAAAAATTAAAAAACAGCACCAAAAATCTCATTATTACGATTCCGTTGAAAATATTTTTAAATATTTGTATGCAAATTTTTTTAAGCTTAATCTGTTTTGTCATCTGAGGGGATTTTTTTCACAAAGTTCTTTAAGAAACTATTTTTATTCATAAAAACTCCATTTTTGGAGGTATTTTGAAATCGGTCCAGCTCACGTAAATCTTGATATTTTTCCGAAATATTTTAGTGGACGTCTTCAAATATAATTTTGTAATTCCAGCGGAAAAACCGAAACTTTTTTTGGTGATGCAGCCTAATATACATCTATTAGGGTGACACAAAAATTCAAAGGAAAATCAACTTTTTTGATTTCTTTTCTGATTTTTTTTAATCAAACACGACTATTTCCCTTCAGAAGTCTTAATAAAATAACACTATGTTGCTTCTTTCATTTAAAACTTTTACTAAGTGCGTTTTAATAATCGATAACCCTATCTGCCATATACAAAAATATTTTATGTTTTCATAACCACAGCACGCACGAACAGCTAATTGAATGTGTTTATTTTTTTGTATTCTATCCGATTATTTCTGTGGGTATGTGGTAAAAAAAATTTGAAAAATAGGGTTGCCAGATATTTGAAAATTTAAAATTATTTAAAGACTCAATAAAATAATATGTTTCTTCATCAAAACTAAAAGTGTTTGAAGAGATTTAAAATATTTTTTATACGGGTTGCCACTTTTCTAAAAAATACAAGAACTGTTATTAAAAATTCAAGCTTACTGAATACCACAATATGGTATCAAATGGACTCCCAGCGAAGTTTTTGAAAATACATACTTTAATTCCCTTACAGTTTTGGATAGGGTTGCCATTTATCTATAATATATATATGTAGGTACATGCGGTTAAGTAAAATATGAGTTTTAAATAAAAGGTGTTAAAATGAAGTTTTAACCCCTACATATCCTGCATAGAGTTGGCACCTGTCTAAATAATTAAAATGAGTGCGATATATCGTCGCTAACTATCGAATGTACAAGAATGCATATTGCATCATTTCACTTAACTTACATAATTACCTCATCTTAACAGATGGGTGGCAACCCTATATAAAAACATGTTAGTCCAAAGCTTATGTGTAAACCTTTCGTGTGATAACCATATTGTGGTACTAAATAAGCTTAAATTATTAATAATCACTGTTCCATTTTTTTGAAACGTGGCAACCCAGTTCAAAAATATTTTTAAATGTTTTCAAACGCTTTTAGTTTTGATGAAGAAACTAAAACATTATATTGACCTTTAAATAATTTTAAATTTTCAAATACCTGGCAACGCTATACCTCAAAATTTTTTACCAAAAACCTACAGAAAACATCGAGTAGAATGCAAAAAAAAAATAAACACATCCTTGAGCTGTTCGTGCGTGATTTAGTTATGAAAACATAAAATAACTAATTTTTGTATATAACAGATAGGATTATCGGTTATTAAAACACACTTCGTAGAATTTTTAAGTTAGATATTCGATCAAAAAATATTTATTTTTAATGATTTTATAGCAATTTTACGAAAAAATTTATCTTCCCCACGTAAAATACATGGGAAACTTCAAAGCCCCGGCGGCACCGGTAAATATTAATCAATTTCAGAATAAAAAAATACGTGTCGCCTTATTTTTGATTCTTCAGATCTGGGGGTGGCTGGAGGAAAAAAAATTTGGGCC